AAATCCCTGGCTCTGGTTTATTTTGGATTTTATATTTTTAGAAGGCCATAGACAAAACTGAGAGCTTTAAAAGGTAATGTCTCCCCCATCCCTTGCTGGGGCATTTGAAGGCTGGTGGAAGAAATATTTCACACTTGATTATATAATGACTGTCTCCAGCCACCTTCCAGAAACAACATAAGCCTACTTGCACAAAGATGTGTATTGGAAATGATAATGGTTTCCATTTATGGATCAGCTGCTTTTTGCCAAATATGTGTATTATCTATAGCCCTCTCTCCAACTCTAAAATAGGTTGTATCTCTCCCTCTTATAGTTAGGAAGCTAGATAAAAAGATTAATTTGTACAGTTTACTTATGCTGCTAATGAAGAGTAGAACTGGGGTTGAAAGTTGAACTATTTCTTTATTCAGTACACCTCTGGCATGGTCATGCAGTGAGGCCCATAGTGGTGAGACTTCTCTGCTTATGAGCACATTGCTTCCTTAGAAGCTCTCCATAAGTCCAGAAAATACTTTATAGTAATATTAGCCAACCTGGATCTGCAGAACACTTGCACTTTCTAGGCACTTTAGCGTGGAATTTATTTCTCTTTCTCTTCTTTCTTTTCTCTCTCTTTTTCCCCCTTTCTCTCCCTTTCCTCTCTTTCTCCCTCCCTCTTTTCTATCTGCCTGACAGGGTCAAGTTGCCAAGACTGGCCTATGAATGTGTGATCCTCCTGTCTCAGCCTCCCAAGTACCTGGGATTACTGCATATCCCATCCTGCTTGGTTGCAGTTTATTTAAATCTTACAGCTCAGTGAAGTAGTTACTATTATTATTTCTACCCTTGATATGAAGAAACTGAGGCAAAAGGAGAAAATGGATCAGAAATAGGTCATCTAGCTGTAAAGTCTACACTTGTAGCTATTGTGCTGTGCTTGCCTAATGCAGATGGCCGGCCTGTGTTTGTATAGAAGGATGCAGAGTTTTAAAATAGAATGGTGATTCTCCATGAAATCGTCAAATTCCTCATTTTTGACTCTTAAATTTTCTTTTAGAATTCAAAAATGTTTGTACTTTAGTGGTCTACTTTTGCGTTGTAAATAAGCAGATAAAGTGTATCATAAATCAAGGCTTCCAAGAAGCCCAATGTTCGCTGAGATTGCTGTAGCTGGGCTTAACTACTGTCACCTTCAGATAGTCACAGTTAGTGTTGATACAGTTTGACTTTGAACCTTAACTTTGTTCATGCAGTTGCAAGTGGAATTGTCTGTAGTGATTTTTGAAAGCCTATTTGTCAAACAGAAAAGGTTGAACCATATGGAATGGATAATATTTAACCCATTCATTCATTCATTCATTCAGTTTAACCTTTCTTTTTTTGTTGTTTTTTGGTACTGGATATTGAACTCAGGACCTTGCACTTGGCGAGGCAGGCACAGTGCCACTGAGCTAAATCCCCGGCCCAATTTAACCTTTTTAACATACAAAAATGTCAGGTTTATATTGTTCAACCTAGTAGGCCCAAGAGGTGGTCATTCCAGAGAAATCGTATGCTTTTTGTTTCTTTTGTTGTTGTGGTGGGTTTTTTTGCTTTTTGTTTTAAGAAAGAATTTTACGATATATGGTATTAGAAGTTTAAGGTTTTAAATTTTTTAAATTAAATGTTTATTAGTACATTTGTAATACATAATGATTTTACATTGATTGTTAGGAGTTGGTACATGTACTAGAAGTTGAGTTTTCTCCACTGACATGCTTTTCCTGTGCAGTTATTTGTCTGAGAAGTAAGTGTTCCATCTCACTTCATCTTAATTTTTTCTTTTTCTTATGGTACTGGGAATCAAACTTGGGACCTTGCACTTGTGTGGCAGGCGGCAGAACCACTGAGCTAAACCTCCGGCCTCTTTTTTTTAACCTGTGGCTACTAATTCAGAACTTATTTTTTCCTGTTTTGCTGTACTAGAGATTAAACCCAGGGCCTCACACATGTTAGACAAGTCCTTGCCATTGAGCTATGCCGTGAGCCCTGGAGGTTCTTAATATCTTATTACAGGTAGAAAATGATTTTAAGGCATTGTGTTTTGGAGGGTGTGTGTGGGTAATTTTTTATATATTTAAATTGTTTATATAACATACCCTTTGCTCATCAAATCTAATTTTGAAATGTAGAGTACTATTTAGATTGAATTTAGGAATTTTTTTACTTTTATCTACTTAATAAGTGAATCTGTATTAGTCAGCTTTCTATCACTGTGACAAAATACTTGAGAGACATCAAGCTGAAAGAGAAAAGGTTTATTTTGGCTTATGATTTGCCTTTTTTCCTCTTCTTCTTCTTCTTCTTCTTCTTCTTCTTCTTTCTTCTTTCTTCTTTCTTCTTTCTTCTTTCTTCTTTCTTCTTTCTTCTTTCTTCTTTCTTCTTTCTTCTTTCTTCTTCTGTTTTTTGAGACAGTCTCACTATGTAGTTCAGGCTGGCCTTGAACTCACTGTGTAGCCAAGGCTTAACTCAAACTCATGGTGATTCTGTTGCCTCAGGCTCTTGAGTCCTGGGATTACAGGCATGTGCCACTATGTCTGACATGGTTTATGGTTTCAATCTGTGGTCATTTGGCCCCATTTCTTGGGCCTGTGGCAAGGTAGAACGTTATGGTAGGGAATGTGGTAAAGCAGAGCTACTCATCTCATGGTAGCGCAGGGAGGGGTGAAGACAGAGAGAGGGAGGGGGAGAGAGAGAGAGAAGAGAAGAGAAGAGAAGAGAAAGAGGAGAACAAAAGGGAGAGGGAGAAAGAAGAGAAAGGGACCTGGGGCAAAATACACCCTATATCAAGGGCATGCTCCCAACAAGCTACTTCTTCCAGCTAGGCTCTACTCCTAAAATTTCCACCACCTCCCAAAAGCCCATGAAGTTGTGAATCTATAAATGGATTAATCCATTAATGAAGTTAGGGTCTTCATGACCCAGTTACCTCCCAAAGGCTCCAACTCTGAACATGGATGCATTTGGGATCGAGCCTTTAACATATGAGCTTTTAAGGGACGTTTAAGAACTAAACCATAACAGAATCTATGATGGAAAACAAAAACAAGCAAACCACCATGGACCTATTTCTGGAGAGAGTGATCACCTTTTAAGAAGACCTTTAGGGGGCCAGGGATTTAGCTCAGCAGTTCTGCTGCCTGCCTTCCAAGCTCAAGGTCCAGACTTCTATCCCTGGTACCAAAAAAAAAAAAAAAGAATAAAAAGGAAGACCTTCAGGCAAGCCTTTTAGGGGGGATTCCAAATGAAGACACAGTTACCATAAGCAATGACAGCTCTGGGGCTGTTATTGTTCCTGAAGACCGTGGAGTTAAATGATGGCGAACCTTTTGGGTCTTTTAATGACACAAACAACCTGCTGCAGCACATGTGCCATAGGTTCACTGCCATTGTTCTAGTTGATTAAGATTTTGAAGCAGGGCCCAGGGATCTAGCTCAGTGGTGCTGCTGCCTGCCTTGCAAGTGCAAGGTCCCAAGTTTGATCCTCAGTACCAAAAAAAATAATAATAAATAAAAAAAAAATTTTGAAGCAGAAGATAGTGATGATGATCCTAATCCTATGTAGGCCTATTCTGATGTAGTTTATGTCTTAATCTTTAACCAAAAAAATTTTAAAAAGTAAAAAAAGCTGGGTGTGGTGGCGCATGCTTGCAATCTCATCATTTGGGGGGCTGAGCCAGGAGGATCACTGCAAGTTTGAGGACAACTTGGGGTACATAGTAAGTTCAATGCCAGACTGAACTACGTAGTGAGACCTTGTCTCAAAAAGCCAAAAAAAAGGTAAAAAAAGAGTAGAAAAAAGCTTATAAAATAAGGATATAGCCAGGCATGGTGATGCATGCCTGTAATCCTAGCACTAGAGAGTTCAAGGCCAGCCTGGGCTACATAGCAAGGCCCTGTCTCAAAAAAACCAAAAAGGATGTAAATAGAAAAATTTTTGTACATGAGTGATTTTTGTAGTTTGATTTTGTACTGTTTTAAGGTAAGAGTCAAAAAGTTTATAAAGAAAAAAAAAAGAATTTTAAAAAACATTTCTTCTCATTATGGAGCAGTACTTAGAAAAATTATCATAACATTTACCAAAAGTTTAGCATGCTGTTTACTTCTAATAGAAAATACATGATTACATTTAGGAAAACTTTTATTTACCCAAGAAAGTGTCCATTAAGGATACTCTTGGATGACCCAGTCTGTAGAGGAGGAATGGCTTGAGTTTCAGGTGACTGTTCTCACTGGGGTGAGGGTGCCAGGAAGGGGGCCTCCAGTGAGCAGTGTGGCACACATGAACACCCTGTGACAGCTTTGCTTTTTGTTACTGGTGCATGGCACACTATTGTCTTCTGTTTATTTGATTTTTGAAAATCAACTTCTTCATTTCTTTAAATTTGATCATCACGTCCTCCAAGTTTTCCTCATGTCCTCCAGTTCCATTCACTTGGTTGCTTTGTTTCCTTTTTCCTTGCAATCTCTGGATCCTTTTGAATGAATAAAGTATATGATAAAGCAAAATATGTGGTAAGCTTCTAAGGCTCAGTACTAAAACTGTGGGAGCATTGTACTCTAATGCAATCATTGTTGTAAAATCCCTTAAGTTTCATAAAGAGATCCCTCAGAATGTTCCCTAGTTCTGCCCCACTCCAGGGTGGTGGTGAATATGAATTTGGTCCAACTCAAGAGCAACGAATTCTGGCTTAAGATTCCTGATTTTCTTTAGAATTTTCCCCTGTGAAACTCTGAGAACTTGTAAGGCTACTTAAACATGTGGATCTCTTCTTTATAAAAATGAATGTATCATAGTTGTTTACCTGAAGTTGTATTTATTCTCTCCAAACAATTTTGGGAAGTACTGGCAGTCTGCTTGGTGTCTCTGGCTACTTATGCATGCCATTCTTTCATTTTCCATTGCTGTATGTTAATGCATGTTTTGTAATACTAGGATAAGCACAAGGGATCTTTGCTTTTTTTTTTTTTTTTTCCAGTACCAAATGCTTTTAAGAAAACAGATGATTTTGTGACATCTAATGTGCCAGCTGTGGACCTGGACCACAAATTTAGATGCAAGGTTGTGGACTGTTTAAAATTTTTCCGCAAAGCTAAACTGCTGCACTATCATATGAAATATTTCCATGGGATGGAGAAGTCACCAGAGCCAGAGGAAAGCCCAGGGAAGAGGCATGTCCAAACAAGGGGCTCTTCAGCTTCTGACAAGGCCGGCCAGGAGAGCTTGACTAGGAAGCGGGTCTCTGCAAGTTCTCCGAGTAAGTATCTTGGTTCTGCACTGTATTATCAAGGGCTCTGCTGTTTAGTCACAGTGCTTATGTCTCTGACACAGAAAGATTGTTCTAGTTCAGTTGAATTCCATTAGACTAAATGATAAGTGATCTTTAGAAGTTGTTTCTTGGAGTTATGGCCCTTGTGGGGGAAGGAGGACTACCTAACTCTGTCTTATTTCTGCCCCTTGCTGCCCAAGTTACCTTGAGGAAGTTACCTAGTTGCTGAAGATTCTGGTGCTCTCAGGATGAGTGGGGACAGTTGAGTGAGGAGGTGTCTGCAGAAGCCAGTGGGAGAATTTGTGCCCAGAACAGCATAGATGCTGTCATTCTGCCAGGCAGCAGGAAAAACCCAAAAGAACAAAAAAGTGATACTTGTTTCATCTGCTGGGTGCAAACGTTGAATCTTCTTGCCTTTTAATTGCAGTTAAAGATATATATATGTATATATTTGTTTTAGGTTTTTTGTTGGTTTTTTTGAGACTGGGTCTCACTATGTAGTTTAGGCTGTCTTTGACTCACTGTGTAGCACAGGCTGGCCTTGAACTCATGATAGTGCCTCTCCCTCAGCCTCCCAAGTGCTGGGATTACAGGCGTGTGGAACAAGGCTTGGCCAGTTGAAAATATTTTCTAACAGCACTGTTTAGTTTGTGTAGAAACCACAGTAGTGCTAGTATGGATTACTATAAACTTTCATTTCTTCTTGCAGAGAATCTTTTGGAAGTTTTTTCTGAAATTATAGAAATTGAAAAATTATATATCAAGGGAATTTTAGAAGAAGTAATGGATTTCCAATAAATTCTACAATTTTCCCAGCTTGTTTACCTGAAATTGTAGTATCACTATTTATTTATTGGCTTATAGCTATTCCATTGAAGGATGTAAGTATTGCCGGGCATGGTGGTGCACACCTGTAATCCCAGCACTTGGGAGGCTGAGGCAGAGGAATCATGAGTTTGAGGATAGTCTGGGGTACATAGCAAGAGCTTGTCTCAAAACAGAAGAACAAAAAATAACATCAAAGAAACAGAGCCCAGTTATCAAATTTTCTCATTTCCTCTGCACAGCTTTAGCTGTTTTAATCCTCTCTGAGAAGAAAAAGTTGCTTATTGAGCATGGAATCAGAGCACCAAAATTAGAATCTTCTCATGCTAAAATAGATTTGGCCAGTTCATTTGACAATGATTTATTACCAGGCTCTGACTTGGGCACTGCAAAAGAGACCCGAATCCCTTCTGCCTAGTGCTTGTGGTTGTGCCTATTCTAGTACAGAGAAGGAGCAAAAAGAATTGATTCATTTTCTGAGACATCCTCTTGCCTGGGCAGTACCTGCTTCATTTAGGGCCACACTGACAGGGATGTTAATGTCTGTTACTTCCCAGTCTCGCTGTGTTGGGTGGCCTTTTTTTTTTTTTTTTTTTTTTGTACTGAGGGTCAAACTCAGGACCTTGTGCTTGCAAGGCAGGCAGCGGAACCAATGAGGTAAATCCCCGCCCCTGGGTGGCCATTTTTGTATTTTAGGTGAGTTTAGATCTCTTTGCTTTTGGCCAGGCATGGTGGCGCATGCCTGTAATTCTAGCATTTGGGAGGCTGAGGAAGAAGGATTACTGCAAGTTTGAGGCCAACCTGAACTACATAGCAAGACCTTGTCTCAAAAAACTAAAAAGATAAAAAACAGAAAACAAAACTATATATGTGAAATTGCGCAGGCAGAATGAAAACTTCTACACTTGATCTTAGCCAAAAGGCTGAGAAGCGATAAGAATGTAAACTTCTGATGAATGTTGCTAATCACTCTTCAGAATGCTTGTCCTAATTGGTAGTCTCCTACCAACAGGTTATTAATATTGTCAAATTGTGAACATTGTTCCCTCCTGGTACTGGGGATTGGCCGAGGGGCTCATGAATGCTAGGCAAGTGCTATATCCCTATCCCTTTTTATTTTTAAATTTGAGTTAGCTTCTGTGTCCTGGCTGGGTTTGAACTTGTGGTCTAATTCCATTGGCCTCCCAAGTAGCTGATATATCTTTTTTTTCCCTTACGATTTATTGTGAACCTAGGCAATATTTTTTCTTTTTTTCGCAAAACATTTATTGATACATTTTAGATATGCATAATGATAACATTCGTCATAGGGAGTTTGTACCAGTACATAATATATTTTATTGGTTCTTTTTATAGGTGAAAAATGTTTAAGCGACTTTAGTATTTTATTATTTATTTATTTTTAGTATTTTATTTTTTAAATAGTAGAATATTTTAAACATACAGAAAAGCACACAGATATAGCAAATATATATGTATCCCCTACCCAGACTTAACAAATGTCAGTGTTTTGCCATATTTTTTCAGTTTTTTTTCAAAAAAGAAATCAATGAAGTAGAAAAAAAAGATGAAATAAGAACCTCCTGGGCGTGATGCTGCTTGCCTGTAATTCCAGCACTTGGGAGGCTAAGACGGAAGGATTGCCATGAGTTGGAGGCCAACCTGAACTACATAGCGAGACCCTGTCTCAAACAAAACAAAACTCCTATACTCCTTTTCCTTTTTTCCTCTTATATGTCCCCAAATATGTCCATATATATTAAGAGATATCAGAGTATTTTGAGTGTTATAAGCACTTACATTGATAGAGTATTTTATTTAAAAATTTTTTTGTTTTGGGCCAGGGCTTTAGCTCAGTGGTTCCGCTGCCTGTCTCGAAAGTGCAAGGTCCAGAGTTCAAACCCCGGTACCAAAACAAAAACAAAAACAAAAATTTTTTGGGGTTTAGAATATGCATAAAAATAAAATATGCATAAATGGTATCAAAATACATTCTTACTAGTTGGTGCTTTTGTTCTGTATTGTTTTAGCTTCTTTCTGCAAACCTGTAGCTAGATCTCTTTGGTTCTTTAGCTGGTGTATAGTATTATATTGTGTGAGTATGTCAGACTTACTGAAGTTGCTAGTTTTTTGCTATTATAGGTGATCTTGCAGGAAATGCCTTTGTACACGTTTCTTTCCCTCCCCTCCTCTCCCCTCCCCTCTTTCTCTTTGTCTGTCTCTTTCCCTCCCTCCCTCTCTTTCTTCCTTTTCTTTTCTTTTTTCTACCTATCTACAGGGTCTGGCTAAGTTGCTAAATTGTCCAGGCTGACCTTGAACTTGCAATCCTTCTGCCTCAGCTTCCCATAGAGCTGGTATTACTGGTGTGCGCCACCACACCTGGCTAAGTGAGTGTTTCTTTAGAAAATTTACCTAGAAGAGAAATTCCTAGATGGAAGGGTTTTAGTTAATATACCAGAAAGCATTTGACAATGGTGGTTTAATTCATAGTCTTAGCAGCTTTGTGATTTTATTATGTCCTCACCAACTTTTGGTGTTATTTTACAAAAATTTCCCCAATCTTATGAATTTTTTTTCTTTTTTTGGTATCTGGGATCAAACTCCAGACCTTGTATTTGCAAGGCAGGTGGCAGCACTGCTGAGGTAAATCCCCAGCCCTCCAATCTTAGGAATTTGAAATGGTTATTTCCTTGTTTTTCTCAGTAAGAAAAACATCTTTTTTTTTTCTTTCTTTCTTTTTTTGGTTTTTATGAGACAGGGTCTCACTATGGAGTTTAGGCTGGCCTTGAACTCATGGTGATCTTCCTGGCTGTCTCCCAAATGCTGGTATTACCAGCCTGTGCCACCACACCCAGCTTTTTAAGTTTTTTTTTGGTACCGGGGATCGAACTCGGGCCCTTGCGCTGGCTTCTTTTTTAAAAAAACAGGGTCTCACCATATTCCCCAGGCTGGCCTTGAACTCATACTTTAAGTAGTCTTACTGCTTTTTTTCTGAGTAGTTTGGAATATGAGCATTTGGTTTTTACTTTTTTTTTTTTGTATTGCTGGGGATTGAATCCAGTGTCTCATATATACCAAGCAAGCGCTCTACCACTGAACTATTTCCCTAGCCCTTTAAAAAATTTATTTTTAGACTGGGTTTCACTAAATTGCTGAGGCTGGCCTCAAGTTTTTGATCCTCCTGCCTCAGCCTGCCAGCTAGGTGAGATTACAGGTGTGTACCACCATGCTTATCTTGTATTTTACTTTTTAAATTAGATTCAAAAGCATTACAAACTTCCCTTCTTCTACCATCTCCTGCCAGGCTGCTCTTCTGACTCCTGCTAGGGTGAGCAAGCTCTATCTGGAGGCATTTGCTCTGGTCTGAAGACCACTGTTCCTGTGGCTTGTTCTCGCTCTTTTTTTTTTCCCCCATTAAGTTTCTTGGTACATTTTAGGTGTAAAATACAGTTACATACACCACTGGGATCTTGTACCATTACATGAGTATCTTGGTTCTTATTTTTTCCCCCTTCCCCTACCCTCCCTTCACCCCCTCCACCCTTCCCTATTTGAAAAGATTTTGTTTCCATTTTTTTCTTTTTCTCATATTTTTTCTTTTCCCTTCTTTCCTTTCCTCTACCCCTCCCACTTCCACTGCTCCTTTAGACCTTTACTTCCTATTACACAATATCAGCTATACATTTTTAAAATTAAAATATCAAGACCTAGGAGACATTACCACAGATTTTGCAGAATTTAAAAGGATATAGAAAGCATATTACAAAAATCTTTTTGGAAATAAAAATTTGACAACTTCTAAGAAGTACCTTGGAAGACAAATTGATGAAACTAACTCTGGAGGAAATATAAAATTTGAATAGCACCTATTAAAGAAAGTATA